GGRMCAAACTCTTCTCAGTGGTGGCCAGTGATAGGACAAGGGGTAATGGGTACAAGTTGAAAAACAGCAAGTTCCATCTCCATGTGAGGAAGAACTTTTATGATGAGGGTGACAGAGCCCTAGAAAAAGCTGCCCAGGGAGGTTGTGGAGGCTCCTCCTCTGGACATCTTCAAACCTGCCTGGATGCCACCCTGTGCCACGTGCTCAGAGTGTCCCTGTTGGGGCAGGGGGGTTGGGCTAGATGATCTCTAGAGGTCCCTTCCAACATTAACTATTCTGTGATTCTGTGATTCTGTGTATGATGCAGGCTCACTATTGCTGTATATGGCATACAGCAAAATATTGAAAGATTCTAGTATAAAAGTTCTGGAGGAAGTGGCATAACAAAGAAGATGGATTTGGCTGCAAAGAAGGAATGCTCTTTTTCTCTTTGTACAGTTCTTTATGAAAATTCAGTGGAAATGAAACAGAGTACTATATACTTCTTTATTCAGAAATTTTAACGTGATTCAATTGAATTAGATTGAGACATATATATATGGATTAGAGATTAGAGACTTAAAAGTCCTATTCAAAACTCTAAAATAAATATTTTACAACTTCACAACTTCAAGTGTCTTTCCAAATAATCTAGAGTGCCTGCAGAAAGTTACATTTGCTTTATAGTTTCTTCCCTATATAAAATTAAACAGACATTTGCTGTGGATATTTTATTAATAAAGGACACACATATGCCACAAAATAATCCGAAAGCTGACATAAAAAGGTAACTGTTTATCGCCACTTAAAAGAGTAAAAAAGGAGTAAAAAATTTAGAAGCATATAAATCAGTGGCCAAAGTGACATAAGATGTTTTATTACTTCAGGTAGGAATTGTCGCCTATAGTATATAAAAGATGAGCTACATATTACCCGTGGATTTTAGGGAACTAATGCTTTTTTTTCTTTCTTTTTTTTTTTTTTTTTCCCAGAGAAGTGCTTTGTGTAAGTTTGTATATCTGGAATATGTTCAAAGTGTCATTTTTCATGTTTAACAAAAATGTTTTATATCCACTGGGTTGCTATTCTCATAATAACTTAGATCAGTTGGCTGGCTCTGGCTCCTGCTCAGTAGGCTTAACCTATAGCTTTTACTTTGAAGACAGTGCTTTATAATGATTCAATTAAGTCTTCTTTTATTTCCTTCTATTCGTGTGTGTGTGTGTCACAGTCTGTGTGTGTGTCACAGTCCCTATCTCATGCTAATGCTAATAGTAACATGCTAATGTTAACGTGTTGATATTACCTGCATTTTGGGCATGTGACATGGTATATCTTTTCATAGGCATGAGTATGGACAAGCGACTAAAATACAAACACCCCATGTTACATAAGCAARCATACAAGTACCACATAGTGCAAGTGACCCCATTTTGGTCATGTGGCAGAGGCACTTGTCATCACAGAGCATGAAAAGGGGTTGGAAACTAACATATCTTTCTAAGAGGCTATGTGGCCCCAACTGCTGAACTTACTGTCACCACTGCTGGAAGACCCACTCAATTACTTGTCCTTATATAGACAGATTCCTGGTCTGCGAGAAGATAACCCTACTTTTTATTACTATAGTTTTATATGGTAGTACATTAATGCCTTAATTTCCTACTCTTATTGTATATTTTCAGACTTGGAACATCTTTGTTGAGGTGCCAATTACAAATAACAATAAGTTGGACAGTATCCTGACCCATTTTTAAAACATTAGTACTAGATCTTCCACAAACTTTAGAAGCAGGCTAAAATAAGTGTTTTATTCAGGCTGCAAGACTGAAAATGCAACAATAAGGAACTATACAGAAAGTCTTGTTCTGAGGATCAGACAGGATTTTTCATTTTATGGCAAAGCCAGTATTTTTCCCACACATTCTTTCTTATCACAGATTTCTGGGGATGAAGTACATGATGTTCAAAAGAAAACAAAGCAGACAAAAAAATATATATCAAGGTAATGCTGACAGTCTGAAGCAAAGGCTCAGTGCTTTACTAGGATGGTTTTGGGAAAACAAGAGTAGGACAACCCCAAGGCTTTGGCATGGAATTCAAGAACACAGCTAGGAGTCACTGCACCTCCAAGAATTGGAAGAGCTGAAATGGGAACAAAATCCTCTCCAAAACAAGAAAATAAAATAATTCATTTAGTGCTGCCAGCGTTTATACAATGGGAATACATTTTAGTTAGGAATGTGTTAGGCAAAGAYCACAGCTGGATACGCTTTCAGCTGAAGTCATGCTCCAAAAACCACTGAAAGCAATGGAACTCTCCATTAGATTCAGCGAACTTTTAATCAAGCCCAAGTTAGTAAGTCAGAGAGCAAGATTTAGATACAACTGGGAAAATTTGYAAAAACAGTAATTTACAGTACACAATAAGGCCAGAGGACCTGAGGAAATCAATAACCAAAGAAAGGTCTGTGCAGGCACAAACTAGAGGATATGAAAAGCCCAGTCTTAGATGTACTTTAGTCAGATTCTGCAATCCATTTCATCATCTTCTGTGATAGGATGCACAAAGTACAGGCAGAACTGATTGAGATCAGTTCCCAGCTCAAGCACAGATTCCCTGTAAGCTTTTTAAAGCACTTTCTGTGCACCACCACCATCAGGGCTGCATGGTTCTTTCTTTTCCTTTGCTTTGGATGACATAATATTCTCCAACTGCTTCTCTGCTTTGTCTCTTGGGTTTTGAGCTGATCTAAGGTTGCTAACATCAGTGCTGATGGCATCCAAAAGTCAAACAAAATCTCAAACATTTATTCCAGCATCAGACATTCCAGCATGTCCCCTACAGATACACCACTCAGCCTCCAATATTGAGTTCTTTAAAGCATAAAATGAGATTAAAAAAAACCATTTTAAACCTTGTTTAATTCGGAAAATTTGTGTGCCACATACAGCATCTTGTTCATATGCTTGTACAAAACTTCATATAATGTCTGTTGTTGACATAACTTTCCATAGCTTTAAACACAACAAGAATAGTAATAATAGCAATGATTCTAAGCTAACATTTGCCTTTGGCCTTCATTCCATTTTCCTTTCTAATTGGACTCCCTGTTTCTCAAAAAAACAAGACCATCTTAGGAGTAAACAATAAAGCACAGCATAGCCTGTCAGGAATTCAGTAAGCCACTAAAGTCAAGATAAGTTAAGATCCAGAGTCTGATTGGTTTGAACTCAAGTCTTGACAAAAGACAAACAAACTTACAGACTCAAGGATATAAGACTTCCAGGCCTGAAAGTTAAATTAGGTCTAAATAAACTTAACTGTGTATAATTAATAAGCTTTACATTGTGTAAGGAATGAACAATAAAAAAGACAGGAACAGAGATGTGAAGGATCTGTCTTGGATAAGACTTTTCCTTCAATAAAAAATATAAGATTGAGATTTTATAGAATTGAAATCAATGAACAATGTATTCTAGGAAAAATACATTTTGCAAATGAAAAAGATATATTGAGAATGAGTTTTAGATGAGTGAATCTTTTAAATGGCCAAGTAAAGTAGTAAATAAAACAGTTAAAAGTGAAATAATGTTGACTACTTCAGCATCTGGAGCAGCATAAAAAATATCAGTAAAACTAACAAGGCAAAGTGATTCTATTCTGTTATAAAAGCTATAGCTACTTTGCTTTGCAGCCATCTGATCTGTTTATCTTGTATGCCTGAAAAGACATATGTAGCTATAGCACACCAAAATTCAAAAAATACCCAAAATAGAAATGTTACAAACAGGAAAAAATATTAAATATATAATGCAATTTGCTCAGGTCTTGATTTTGGAAGTAGCTAAGCATGCACCTTGAGATCATTAAGAGACACAAAAGAATGTTTTCAGAAACCAGGTCAGAGTATTATTTTGGCTATTTTCAACAACAGTGATAAAATGTATGTCTGCCAGAAAACAAAAGACTACAGTCACCTTGTGGTAAATTTAGAACTCAGTCAGCTTTGCTGGAAATATTTTCTGCTCATGCAAGTGAAATCAGAAATTCATATAGTCACAGAATGGCTGAGGTTGGAAGGGACCTCTAGAGATCATCTAGTCCAACCCCCCTGCTCCATCAGGGACACCCAGAGCACGGGGCACAGGGCGGCATCCAGGTGGGTTTGGAAGACCTCCAGAGAAGGAGACTCCACAGCCTCCCTGGGCAGCCTGTTCCAGRGCTCTGACCCTCAAATAATACCAAAGAAGAAGAATAATCAAGAAATCATATGCAGATTAAGGCAGAGTCTCAGGCTTTCACTGTGTTTAGAAACTACCAGCTTAGGGAGCTTCAGAATACAACAATTTATAAGATTGTAAAATACACTACATAAATTATTGGTTGTCACTAGCTAGCTTTTCAATTACTTGACTCAATGTTTTGTCACATTGATTTTGCGTGGTTTGTGTCACCATTTGGCTACATTTCCTTTTACTGTTGGGCTGTTCCATATCTATCATTTACATCTTCATATTGAATTAGTAATAAAGAAAATAATGCTAAATATCTATACTCCTTTCAGGCATTTTACCGAAGAGATTAAAACACCCCATCTAACCCTGAGTGATAATTACGCATTGCATATATGTTCTGTACAGTCATTTTTATTGTACAAATTGTAATGCATGGACTCTAAAATTAGAAATCTTCTTTTTGGTCAAATGTATAAGGTTATTAATAGAATCACTAAGAGATTTGAAAGGAAGAGTTAAAAAAAAAAAAAAAAAAGCTGCAACTTGTTGCAACTTGTGAAATAAATGCCATTTGTCTAAAATAAACCTTTGTTTGACCTTGCTCAAATTTGATTCAGCAAAATTAATATGAAGGTGTCTAGAGACCAAGAAACGCCCTGGGCTGTGGTCTCCAGTTGAGGGTAGAAGTTGTACCACCTCCCACAGCCCCAGAATGCCACTGCCATTGGTCGGGGTCTAACAGCATTGGCTCCACATTCTGAGTAACTCTCTGCCATTTGACAGATTGGAAGCAAAAGGTAAGTTTTAGTACTCCTTTCTTAGAACAGCTGGTTGGATTCTTAAGGCTGAAAATACTTTTTATAATAATGGCTTTATTTATCATGCAAACTACTGATTCAAAGGCTGCAGATTGAGGAAATTATTTATTTTTCCCTGGATATGTCTTAGCTCCTTCCTGTGAGAGGAGTACATAATCTTCATCAAAATATTTGATTTTACAGCTACTGTAGATGCCAATAAAATTACAGTGTGTTCCAATATACAGTGTGTTATACATAAAGAAAGTACAGAGACATGCAACCTCTGCCAGTTAGTACAGAAACTGCAAGCATAGGTAAATGAAGTATTTTCACATAGATTTATATATATATATGTATGTGTGTATGTATATATACATTTATACTGTTCTTAATTTGCCTATATATACAAAATGAAATATTAATAAAGCCCATATCCTTTAAAAAGCTTTTATATCTAGGCAATATAAAATCTATTTTTAATAATAAAAATGCAAAAATTGTAAATAATGTTGAATAATTGTTGAAGAATTGTTTATTCAGAGAGAAAAAATATATTTGATGTTAATATATGTTAATATTACATTTAGATTTAATACATAACGTCCTTTACAGTCAGATCATTTGAGATAAGCCAAAGAAAAACATTTCTAGGAGCAGTCCAATCAAAAATACACATCAGCAATTATAAATATAGGAAAAACAGAGTCCAGTATACTTCTGAGCCCTTTTTTTTTTTTTTTTTTTTTTCTTTTTGTAATGAAGCAGAAAACATTTAGTAATCTTGGAGGTTAATACTGAAAGGTGCAATTCAACTAAGTCTGCTCAAAGTCAAGCCAATGTGACTCCAGCTTATCCCAGAAGCAGCAGCTGAAAAGTTTTTTTGAATACAGTAAATGAGGGAAAAATGAATGCCTTGTGTTGCTAACCATCCTCAGAGGAATTTCATATCCTAATGCCTAGACCAACTTCATAAAGACCTCCTTTCAAGAAGCTAAAATTCAACTTGTTTCTCAGCACACACATTCAAAAAAAATGCATGTGTTTCTTAATCTATTTTAAGTAACTTCAGTTTAAAATGTAATATTTGTATGTAGTATGGCATCACATCAGGAGAACAATTTATTAGACTTATGCACTGCTCATTATCACTGACTTTGTTTTTGGTGAAATAAGTGAGAGTTGTAGCTAAATCAAGGTAAAACAATTCTGAATAGACTCCTGTGTTGGGCAGTTTATAAGATAACAGGGAATTCATCACTTACAAGAGAGAGGGAATGAATGAATGAATTAATGAATGAATGCTAATATTCAAGCACAGTATGAATTTTCTTCTATATTACTAAAATATGGAAATTTTAAAACAATGATATTTTGATTTTACAATTCAGTTTTCCAAGTAAGGAGAAGAGGTGACTGTACTTTTCCAGCATATTACACAACTTTTAAAATGATGTTGTTTGGATAAAGAAAGAATGAAGAATACTCTCCGTGGAAGATGAAAACTACTTTTCATTTTTCCCCTAGAGCTTGCCAGAATTGATATTTCAAATATACCACATGTCTTGACCAGTTAAAATGACATGTTCTAGCTAAATGGCTAGTGGGGGTGAACAAATATTTTGATATAGTTCATCTAGGGACATCAAGGAGAAGGCTCCTAATATTTCCTACCTGTAGCATTTTATCTTTTTTTGTGTATGTGTGTGTTGTGATGGAGAAAAGCAAAACTACATTGTTGGATATTTCAAAAGATGACTTATTATGATAGACAAAAAATGTACTAATTTATCTTTTGCTTAGCTTCTCAAAATTCGTAATGTCCTTCAGTGTTGGATAATTTGAGATAAATGACAAACCAAAGACTAGCAAGACTAGGAGCACCCTCTCTAACAGTGAAGTTGAAACAGATGAAGTTATATGAATGGGGATAAACATCAAGATATACTCTCCTTTCACCTTTTTAGAGCTTTTCTCTTTGAGGCCAGTTTGTTTTCATACTATCCTGAAATAGTAAAATTCAATAGGTCCTTCCTAAATTGAAATAATTTTTAGTAGTGCCAAAGTAGGCTGCAGAAATTCTCTCGTCTGAGGGCTCTTCATGAAATAAAATAGAATAAGCCATTTGGCCATAATAGATAAGCATGGGCTACCCTTTAGAACCATTGTGGCATGCATGCATTTACTATGAGATGAATCTTTCATGGATTCTTTGCAATTACCAGATCACCCACATTTTGTTTCTTTTCCTCCCTAACAGAAAAAGCACCAGAATGAAGATCTTTGTAAATATTTTTCTGGGATTTTTTATCTTTGAGACTGTTGATGCTGTACCCATCACTGACACAGTAATTTATGATTCTGAGTTCTATGAAGAACCACTTGGAGAGCTCCTGCATCCATTTGTCTATTTTGAAAATGAGCAGTCTGACCAGCTAGAGGTAATCATATCTTCATTTATCCATCTGTTTTCCACATTGCACAATGCAGGGGCTACTGATGATTTTTCATAGTGCATGAAAATAAGCTGGGCACAAGCCCATTCCTGTGGTTGATATTGCCTCTGTACTGTACTTGATCCATATTTTCCTCTGTTCTTCAAGTGTAGACAAAATATATTTTCTGTTTTGAAAATGAAGCCATACCAAAAATGAAAAAGTCATACCAGGCCTACAATGATGACTTCCTATACTGCCTCTAGGCAAAGCTTTCACAGCTAAGCATCGTTATTGATATTCTCTGTATGTCTTGAGATCTTCTAATTTCAACACTAGAGTTTTTAGTAACATACTCAGTGTTAGGTGTGACCTCCCTGTACTGCGTTCTTTTTTTTTGTTTTTTACATATATAAAGAACAAGAGATCAGAAAGCTTTTCTATTTTATCTTGCAGAGTTCTTTTCCAGGGCTGCATCATTGGCTCCCATTACTGAGTTTTTCAGGCAATCATCTTAAAATTCTTCAAGTGAGAGTCATCCATCACAGTAGTTGTAAAGAATGTTACTTTATGGATGAACAGACCTCCCTGTAAGAGTTATTTTTTTTCCCAGACCTTTAGCCAAAATCTTTGTTTGCTTACATTCCTCTTACCATGTACAACCTCAAGGAAGACCAAGTATTCATAGTATTTCAAAAAACAGAAGAGCTCAGAGTGGTTAGTGCTGTAAAAGACAAGGAGCTTTTATGGATTTTTAAGTAAGCTAGTAATGAAACTTATCTTTTAGGCACTCCAGTTTAAATACTATTGCCATCACTCAAGTTTTAAAGAAAATACATTTTTTGCAATAGCCATTACTGTTGTCTCCCTGAAATCCTGTTATCATAAACATACAAAGTATACAAGTGGCTCTTTATGTAAAACCAATTATTTATATAAGGTCACAGGTTAGTTTTTATTATGCATAGCTTAAATGATGAGCAGTASCACAGGGACCCAGACAAATAGCAGAACTTCATTCAATCCAGCTTGTGCAAAATAACTCTATAGGCCTGATAAAATTTCCATTTACTTTTATAGAAATCTCTGAATCATGTCTTAAGATTTCTGAAATAGAGGGAAAAAATGAAATAACATTTTCTGTCATTGCTGTCTTCAATTTAAGATTTTAAAAATCGGTTAAGTAAGTATAAATCTTTGAGCATAAAACATCTCTTAGGAAAAGGTCAAACTTTTCCAAGTTTATATTTCAAGACAATTATCAGTGGGCCTAGAAGACAGGGTAATTCTAATGAAATAGTCCTCCTAATTTCTCCTGGAGTAAGGCAGCTATATACGCAAGGAATTGAGCCTAAGTGTCTGTGACATTTACAAACTTTTCAGAAGACTACCCAAGGAATTCTGTAGTCAGTTTCTAGACATATAACCACCAAAAGGAGAAAAGACCTAGAAAAGACTTAAAAAAAGGAGTCCTCCTAATCATCTAATCTGGCTAAAATTACAGGTGTTACATCCTGAGACAATTCTCTAAAATAAGTGAGATGAATTATTCTATTAAAACAACTCTCTTGCCTAAATATAGTTTTAGAGGGACCCTAGGCATCTGTCTCAATTGAAGTTGAAGATTTTAGCTTATCGAAGTTAACTAAGAGGTATACAAGTTCATGAGTTCCTTTCTAGTTCTTCTGCTCTGAAAATGTTCTTTTTGAAGTACATATGGCAAAAATGAAAATAATGTTTGCATGTGCCCACATATACATGTACATAATTATGAGCAGTTTTCTGTAAATGTCTTTATCCAGATAATGGCTATTTTTGCATATGAAACCTTTTTGGGCCTATTTTTCTCATAGATTTTATAGCACCTTATGAAGACATTAAAGTGTTACTTACAACAGAAATCTGAATTCTTCCAGCACTGCCTGCTAACGTTGACATCTATTAATTTCCTACAGTGTTTTCATTGTATACAATATATGTGTGTCCATCCATCTTTAATGCAAACATTTCATAATGTGAAAGTACTCATTTTTGTGTTTTATTTAAGAGAATTGTTCTGAATTCTGAATCAAAGCTTTGTATCATGAGTTAGATGGGTCAGATATGAGCCATGAGGTTTCCAAGTTCCCAGGTTAGTGAGATGTGGAAGTCTTAAGGCTTTGTGGCTTTTCATCTGAAGGATATTTGTTATGGAAAACAAACAAACAAGCAACCCCCTTAAGTAATTCATCACTCAATGAAAATGTGCATTTTTCAAAAGACTTTCATTAGAGTAGTATCAAACACAAATAATGGGAAAATGACAGAGCAACAAAAAAAGTTTATAACAGTTTCCTATGTTGAAGAAATTTTGAGGTCCTGAAGAAGAAAGAGAGTATAAAGGAGTGTCAATGAAAGCTTGCCTACAAACTTTGTGTTGGATTTAACTTCTGAAACTGATGGTTCCAACAGTATAAACATGAACTGCTGAGTACCCTCTTTCCTTACAGTAAGCTTCAGTATTACTTTCAATTAATATTTATATCATCGGGTATAGAGGTCCCAGTCAAAACTGGGATTTCATTGTCCCAACTACTCTGTAAACATATACAGAGTTCTCTTAAATACAAACAAATGTCAAGACACTCACTGTATAAGCAAGGGTCTCGCTGATACAAACAGAAGGTTCAGAGTGTTTCCTGCTTTGAAATTAAAGCCTTTATTTAGATAGAATGTGCAAAAAAATTTAGACAGATTTTTACATACATTAGCTACCAAAGTCTAATAACATCCTATTGCAAACTTTGGATGATAGTGCCTGTTTAACCGCAAGTAGCCCATTTCCCTTAGTTAGGAAAAAAAATCTAAATTATGAAGAAAACAGTTACTGAAAAGATAGTGATATCAGGAAATATTTTAACCAGTGAAATATGTTATCAGTGAGACTGTGAAGCAAGGAACCATGCTAGCACTGAGTAAGCAACAAAAAATGGCAGGGGTTAACACAGATGGGGCTGAGTCTGGATACACGTGGATCCTCAAAATAATCAAGAAAAAACACTATAAAAGCTTCATATTTGATGCTGCACTACCCTGCTGAGATTTGAATCGAGTTGTTATCAGAATATTCAGATGACTGCACATAGCCCAAAACTTGAGGCATACAGATAAATACACACACAACAGCAGTAATGCCATGCCTGCACATGCACACTCAGCTATGTCCATATGCAGAGACAGCATCTCTGTTCCTACCCTAGTACACATTAAGATAGATCTCAGTTGTGCAAGAACTTCATCTTACAGTTCTTCAGACCTCATGAAGTCTTATACTACTGAGTCTACCTGTATAAAAGGTATCTGATTAAGCAGGATCAAGGTGGAGTGTCAATGACTTCTGGAAACACATCACATGCACTTTTAAATTATACATACTTTTTTTTTTAAATTTGATCAATTGATGTAGAAGTGAGAAGTTACACAGCTGACAGGATAATTAAATTTATTATCTGGAATTTGATCTCAATGTAGCATTATTTCTACTCTTCTTGGAAGGCTTTGACTACAGCTTATACATCCACTTAACTGTTCATATGCTTCCATATCAATGTCTCCACAAAAGGTGAAAATTTCTGCGAATTAAAAAGTAGTCATGCAATATCTAAGTGATGCTCCAAATATTTTGTCATATAGAAAAAAAAATAACTAGAATAAATACCACAAGGAAAAAAAGGAAGATTTGAAATAGCAGACCATTCTCTTAGTTGCCTGAAATGTTACAGTGATTAAATTTACTGGCAAAACATTCCTACGTATCAAGACTCTGATACTAGGTATGACATTAGGCACCACCTCCCTGGCTGAACTGAATGACTACATACTTCCTCCTGCCTCAGACTGGGTGGGATTTTCAAAGTAATTTTCCTGGTCTAAAGCACTTAAATTTATCAAGCTGGAGTTCACTGCTTTAAACACATCTATCATCCTGCTTGAAATTCCTGTATGAGAGGGGACATACATGTCACTTCATAACAAGTAACTTTATAAGTCATGAAATAATGGTTAGATTATTTGCTGAAGGACTGAAGCAGTTGATTTGACTTTTTTTCTCAGTCAGATGTATGCAGAGATATAGTTCCCATCTCCCAGGAGAGATACATAACCATGAAGTTCAAGGTTGATCCATAACAGCAGAAGTTTTCATTCCTTCTATTTAGTCTGGATATTGTACAGCCAAGCACATAAATGTCAGAAGGAGAAGTGAACAGCGAAAATGACTCTACATTTGATGTAGTGAGAGTTAGAGAAGCTGAAGTCTAGTTATGATTACAACAGCCTTCTTTAAGAAGTCCAGGAAAGCAGCTGCATGTCTCTCTAACAGACAAAATCTCTGCAGTCACATTATGTAAACCTTAGAGTAGATGCTTGCTATCTTGAATTCACTAGTCACTTAAGCAAAACTTTCTCCAGGCTTTCAGCTTTGTTGTTTCTTCCAAAAGAAGTAATATGTGCATCATTCCTACTGATATGAGATGTGACACAGGATACGGATATTTATAAGATTATCCAAATTCTTAAATCGCACATATGCTAATCCCTCAATGGCCAATTTTCTGAATATTGTCAAGCTTAATAAGATGTTTAGCTCTGCAGTTCTAGCCCATTTGAAAACCCTCAAACATATGAAAATTTCAAAACTGATCTAAGACTTCTGTGATTATCATAGAATCATAGAATRCTTAAGRTTGGAAGCGACCTMAGAAGTCATCTAGCCCAAACCCCCTGCTCACGCAGKGTCGCCTACAGCACGTGGCACAGGGCTGAGGCAAGTTCTGCATTATGGCAGAGAGCAAGTTCTATATGGCTGGGAAGAGAGAGTGCTGTGGTTTTGAGTTGTGCTCTGAGTCACTTCTATCTTTGTTCATGTTCAAAGGTTGTCTAATATATAGGAYGTTAATCATTCTTTGAAATGGTCCGAATTTGGATCATTTCAGGTCTTGGTTATTTTGCAGTAGGCTGCAGATCCA